ATTCATTTAGTAAGATATTGGATGATGATTGCTGATTGTAGAATAGCAATGGATGTATCCTGCCAAGATTAAACTCACATTCTACTGGGACTACATGATAAAATCTGTGAATAACTGCAAAATATGAAAAAGTACAGTAAAGCCATGCACAGCACATGGTTGGCTGCAAATGTTTCCAGAGTATCTAATAGGAACTTATAAAGAGATGGCATAGTGCAGGAGGCGGTCACAGAGGCACATTTTGAATGAAACACACAATGAAGAACATCAAGGTGCAGAGCCCATGGAGACCTAGTCCTCAGGCTGTTCTTGACAGAGGCACTAGCTTGCACAGGCTTATTGTCAGAGTGTGGTGTACTGTATCAAATGAAGGAAGTGCAGTGTGGGCAGATGGAGCAAGAGGATGAGCAAGACTGACCACTCAAGCCAAGGGACAGTGAAACCCTTACCCACAGTGAGGTGACTTTATCGTCTGGGTCAGGAGACAGTGAGACTCTGACCGACAGTTAGGTGACAGACTACTAGGTCTTCCCTTTGCTCAGGATGGTTGATTATTGACAACAGCCTGTGCCCACATTTAGCTATTTAATTTGAAAATTGAAGATTAAAACTTATGTTTCCTGTTAAACTGACAGTGTTTCAAAAACTTCCTGGTCCTGGAGTAATTGGACACTCAGGTATAGAGCATTTCTATCAGGCTGGACATTTCTATGCTGCTGGACTCTCTAGTCTACAGAGCACAATGGGACTTGGGAATTAGTGGGTTGTGGATTACTTTACGATTTTGTTGGGGGCCCCTGCATAGCTATGTGAGAAAGAATGAATTGAACCTCACCATCTGAAACTCCTTCAGCAACACTCCACAAGGATCCAGAATCTTCAGTTTGAATAGGAAACCATAAAGGTGCTGGAAGAAACTATTAGAGGATTTTTTTCCCTGTAGAGTTTTCATGTACAACCTAAAGGCATAGAAGGAAAGATTGTTAATTATACTCTGTGGGGGGGGGGGCGGTGCTGGGGCTTGCTCAGGGCTCTGTGCATACAAGGAAAGCACTCTACCAACTGAGCTATATCTCCAGCTCTAATTATACTATTTTAAATGCAAAATTTTGCATTGCCAAAAGGCCGTGAAGGCAGAAAACAGTGAACTAGGAAAATATTTGAATATTAGTACTGACAAAGAGTTCATTTCCTTAATGTATGAAAAGCTCACGTGTTAATAAGAAAATGACTACAAGTTCAGAAGAACTCTGGGCAAAGCAGCATCAGAGGCAATTCACAGACGGATATACAAATCTCTCAGCCCTGAAAAAAGATGCTCTACCTCTGCTTATAATAGAAACAAATCAAGAGTGTGTTGGAATCCCATTTCTATCTGTCCCTGTTGTCATAGATCAAACATTCGTTCATGCCCTGGGTCAGGAGCAGGCAGGTGAGCAGACCTGACTGTCTGAAGCCTGAACATACACCATGGACATCGTTAGCTCCAAATGCACACACCTGGGATCTAGCAGTTTTACTTCCAGCCAGTTTTCCTGCAGAGTAACACATATGCAGAATTGCCATGCTCAAGGTTATTCATTATGGTGGTGTTCAGAATAAAGAGGGATTTGGAAAGTCTAAATTTCCAATGGTGAGAAGATGGTGAAATGCTTTTTGGCACGTTTGTCCTCTGGAAGCATATGCAGTCAACAAAAGGGATCTGAGCCCCTTCATGACTTACAGAAATGAGTAGGAAGGTGTATGAGGCAGTGAGAGAGTTTAATCTCTGGAGGGAAAAAAGGAAGGAAAAAGGAATGTTATATGTTGATTTATTTGTTTGAATTAATTCTGATAGCTACAAGAATCCACAATACATAGTAGTATTTGATTCCTCCTGGGAGGGAGTGAGCCCGGAGCGGAGGTGGCAAGGAGACTTATCAGGCATGTGTGTAGTCTTGAGCTGTACTATTGTTCTGTCTATCAAGTAAATGTCAGGAATAAAGTCTTACATAGAGACCAAGGGAAAGATATTATCATATCTGCAAACCAGAGATTTTACCACCCACAGACCCTAACCAAGAAAACAATCCAGTGTGTTTTAGCAAAAACAAAGTGGACCTAGATTAGGAGGCAGGGATGACAGGGAAAAGAAGAGAGGTCAGAAACTGGTGAAAGTCCTGGTAATGTGACTGACTCTTGACCTTACTAAAGAAGTACTGATTTTTGTGTGTTTTGTAAAACTTGGAAACCACTGTGGCTAAGAAGAATTTGTGGCCTTATGGAATTTGGAGAAGAATGGCCAATTGGTGAGGAGTTACTAGAGTGCTCTCTGGGGAGATGAGATGACCTTGCCTAGGGCAAGTTGGAAGTCACTGTGTCTGATGAAAAGTTCTTGTGGCAGCTACTGTGGTGGGCAGACATCTGTGTAACTCTCCTAATTTTATTTATTTATTTATCTATTTATTTGGTAGGCGGACACAATACCTTTATTTTATTTATTTTTTATGTGGTGCTGAGCATCAAACCCATTGCCTCATATGTGCTAGGCAAGCACTGTACCACTGAGCTGCAACCCCAACCCTCTCATTTTATTAATTTTCACAGTGAGACAAGAGAAAGGGCCATTATAGAGAAGATAGCAAGATGGTTTTCATGTGGCACCAAGGACATAAAGATGCCTGGTCCTGAACTTAAGGTGACAGTGTAAGCTCTCAGAAGTGAGAGGAAGTGAGGGTTCTGTGGTATTCAGCACTGGTATTGGCCAGGTGGACAGAGAGAGAAAGGAACTCTGCTCTGTAGACACAAGCAGAGGAGGGTTTCTACCACATCACAGCTGGAAAGAGGGGTGGGGGTTGGGGATAGTGGAAGAAGTTGAATCAGTGGGTTGGGGTTCCAAGTGAGCTGTGGGATTAAATCAAGCCAAGTGGCAGTATCATAGAAAACCAATAGAGCTGCTCAAAGTGTGTCCCTTCTAACACTTAGGGACTTCCAACCTCTTGTGTATTTTCTTAGGGATATGCCACTGTTGACTTTCCTCAAGCAGAGAGTGTATCCCTCTTGCCCTCTCCATGTCTCTATCACTCCCCTGGAAGACTAGCAATCCCCAAAAGCTGAGCTCAGATGTTGAATGTTCCACATGTCTGGTGAAGATGGTGGGTTGGAGACTCAAATGGCTGTTGGCTGTTACACAAAGTGTGACCCATCTCTTCCTTGTTTATAACTGAGTATGGAGTGTAATGGCTAACATTTGGAAGGGTAAATGTCATCACAACAAATCATTTTTCCCTGGAAAGAATATAGACGTAGAAATAGTTGTTACTATAGATTACCTGATCACATTTACTTACAGAAAAGCAGACCAAGACCTTGGGTAACAGTTGCCTACCTCTCCTAGACACCTCTGATGATGACAGTGTTGTCATTTGCAGCTCAAAAGCCTAGCTTGTAAAGTCAGCATGTGGCTTCCCAGAAGACTCTGTCTGCCTACCATGATGCATTTCAAAAACTTTTTCTTAGATTCATTGTAATTTTCCATTGCATGAATCATCTCATGCTTCACTTCCATGATACCTCCCATATTCATCCTAATAATTAAGTGAACAATGACATTTCTAAGTTCTATTTAACTTTCTTATTAAGAAAGATTTAGCTGATTAAAAGCTTCCAAAAATATTCTGTAAAAAATGATCAAATGTTGATGGTACCCGATAGAGATAGTATACTCGGAAGCATGTCTCCATCTGCCCTTGATTCTAGCAGAGAATGACATAGTAATTAATCAACTGTGGTGAATCAAATTAACTATATTTCTGGCATCTTAGCTTTAAGAGAATGAAATACATTGATAGCAGAGGTATTTGAAAATGTTTGAAAGTTTTTACTTTTAATATTTTATATTAAATATCTTGAAACCATATATTCTATTATATATCTCAGTGATTTTGCTTCATCTTTGTTATTGTTTGTTTTAAAATAAAATGTTCATCTGTGAAACACTAATTGGGATATTCATGCATGTTTGCCAAACATAAGAGAGTCACTTTGCTATATTTTTAAATGAAAATGTGAGCATTAAGAAGATTTATACTACCCAATATTAAAGAGTATGAAAGAAAGCAGCCCTCTTATAGTTAGTTTTCTTTCTAGATGGTACATATAGAAAGTCAGCAAAAGGCTAATACCCTTCAAATCAATAATTCCATCTGTAGGAATTTATATGAAGGAACTAAGTGGCCAGGTGTGCAGAAGAGTATGCAGTAGGGGTGGTCATAGCAACCATGCATGACAGGCCTAGTCTGCCTCCATGTGCAGAGTTTAAGAGAACAGTTAAACTATAATCTATAAAAATGTATAATACATGTGGCATGATCGCATGAAGGTATATATTATGTGCCTATGTGTCTGCATATGTTTCTATGTTTATATATTTATGCAAGTGTATATATCTTTAGGGGGCATTGATGTGTCTGGATGTCTGTATATATCTGTATGCATCCGTGTGTGTCTGTGTCTGCATATATTCTGTGTGAGTGCACATACATGTCTGTGCATGCTTGTCTATGACTGTTTGTGGGTATGTACACCCAGTATATATGCATTATCAATACATAGGGAGAAAAGGTTTGGAAAACCTGCACCAAAATGTTGAAAGTTTCATGACATGATAATAAATGGTATGTTTTGTGGACTATTATATTTTCTGTTTCATATTCATGAGATAGTTTTATTTTTTATCTTATGAAAACTCAGAAGTTTATAAGTAACTTAATGTGCATTTAAATAATCATAGAAGTTCCTTTCTCCTGGCTAGATATATAACTGACTCACTTTTCTGGTGAAATTCTTGGTTTATTAAAAGTGATATTTATGTCAGTGGTTAGATTTTATTGAGCTATTTGTTATTTTATCTTCATTGAATTTTTTTGGAGAAACAATTCTCATGTAGTCAGGACAAATAAATGTGTGGTTACATTATGTAATATTTACCAGTGCACATCATTTCCCTTTTTTCTTTACAGATGGTGACATTAAGATCCAACCTGAACGACGGCTCTATACTGTTAGTTTGCCTCCTGAGGGGTATGTTCCCTGTTTGCCAGAGCCCAGCAGCCGCACAGATTCCGAGAGTGCCTCCAGTGGTACAGATGCAGAAGGTAAAATGTTGTGTGGGAAGAAAGGGGAAAATTTTTGCAGACAAATCTTTATTTTCTAGTATCACAAATTAATTATCTAAATTTATAATTAGAGGGATATGGGTAACCATATCATTGTGTAACAACCACATAATGTACAGATACATATTTTACAACTATTAAAATGATTATAGGCCAGGCAGGGTGGCACACACCTTTAATCCCAGTGGCTCAGGAGACTGAGGCAGGAGGATCACAATTTCAGAGCCAGCCTCAGCAACTTAGCGAGACCTTGTCTCAAAATAAAATATCATTAAAAAGGGCTGGGGATGGGCTCAGTGGTTAAGCATCCCTAGTATATACCTGGTAACATACCAATCCCTGGTATATTAAAAAAATGATTATAAAAGAACTTGTAATAATAGGAAAAAATACTTAGTGGGGGAACTTAGAAGTCTGGAATAAATACGTCAAAATATGAATATTACTTATCTTTATTAATAGAACTTTTTTCTTAATTTTCCAAGCTTTTGAAAATTTTATTATCAAGAAAAGAAATTATTTTGTATGTCTTTGGAAAAATATACATCTAATTTCCCTAGATGACTTTAGCAAGTATAAACTAAGAAAGTCTACACTATAAACCTTAATTAATTTGAATATTAAGAAAATGTAAACTGTGGTAGTGCACATCTGGAATCCCAGCAGCTTGGGAGGCTGAGACAGGAGGCTCATGTGTTCAAACTCAGTGAGACCCTATCTCTAAATAAAATATAAAATAGGGCTGAGGATGTAGCTCAGTGGCTGAATGCCCGTGAGTTCAATCCCTGGTACCCAAAAGAAAGGAAGGAAGGTGGGAAGGAAGGAAATAAATCTAGTTTTCTAATATGGATCTTTCTGCCTTCCTAATTAAAGGGTCAGAGACCATAAAATCAAAAGTGGGATAACTAAGGCATTGTGTATACATTTATTTCAAGCTTTGTTGAAAATCTTTGAAATACAATTATTAGATAAATTCTTTAACTAGAAAGTTTAACTGTGTTCTTATGGATATAAATTACTCTTGGTGAGTAAATTCATTATGTACTTAATGTGTTGAACAAGAAAATATGTTTGGTTCATTCACATGCTATTATATACAGTTGGTTCTTATTCACACATTTTTGTTGGCAATTATTTCACTCATGTCTTTGTATTCAGTTAGTTCATTTACCTGGCAATATATGCAGTTGGCTCATGTGCTGTTGAATATTGTTAGCTCTCATGTGCTATTGTACACAGTTGGCTCTCATCCTTGTGCCCTTGTAAACAGTTGGCTCTCTTTTTTTGTGCTGTGGTGTATATTTAGCTCTCACTTATTTGCTACCACATACATTTAACTCTCATTCAATCATTCATTCACCTGCTTTCATATATACTTGGTTTTCATACACTGTAAATGCAATTGACTCTCAGCCTTGCCCTTGTTGTATGCAGTTGATTTACTCATATGCTGTTGTATATAGTTGGCCCTCACTTGTGCTCTGTAACAATGTAAGGTAGCTGTGCTGCTGATGTCCCTGCAGGCAGCCTGTTTTCGAGAGGCCCCAGGGATTCTGGTTGAGAAAGCCTCTCTTTGCTGTAAGCTAACAGCACCTCCCAAGCTGTTTGGTGGTACTAAGCTGTCCAAACGTCTGGAAAATGGAAAGGTGTTAGTGCTACGTAGACAGATATTTCTCTTACCTAAACTGTTTCATCGCGATCACGGGTCCTGGTCCCTCAAGTAATTACTTTCTTCCCATGGCCTATGTAGCCTGTTGCCACCTCCTCCAGACAGGTTTCTGGGAACAGTTATGGGCTGGGGAGAACAAACCTAATCGCTCTACAAAGAACAGAGGAGAAGAGCTGGGTCTGCAGCTCAGTGGTAGAGTGCTTGCCTAACATGTGTGAGGCACTGGGCTTGATCCTCAGCACTACATAAAAATAAACTAATAAAATAAAGGCATTCTGTCTACAACTACAAAATTAAAAAAAAAAAAACACAGAAGAATTGAGCAATTAGGATTCATTATATTTAAATAGCTGTGGCACCCAGGCACATTTAATGGTAACATTATTGAAACTTTGAATACATTGTTACAAGTAATATTTTTTAGAAGTTGTTGGGCAAAATAATTCTCTTACTTCATTTTCTCCTTTGCTTTCTGGCCCCTGGGAGCTGTAAATACAGGCTTTCTGTTTTTAGGAGGAAATGGTGAATAATGATCACTGCCATGGAGTGGGTGGGCAAGAGCATGAGGGCTTGGCAGCAGGCCCACACCTGTCAGTTGTTTCCTCAGATGGGGCCTCTGAACCTCCCTGACCTGATCCCAACTTTGTGTTTGCCCTCACCATCTGGCACTGTCCTCAGAAGACCTTTTGGAGCATGGATGGTTGCCGTCTGCTCTATGGAATAGCTCCTACAAGAGGTCCTATTAGTTAATTTAATAACTTAGCATGAACTGAAACCATTAACCCAGTTTTTCAGAACAGTTTTAAACCACTTATTAATCAAAGTTGGGCTGGGAAGTTGATATTTTGAATGCTTATAGCTTATCTCCAAATATGTTTATTTCCCTTTTTTTTACTGTCTATTTATTTTCATATTTTTTTTTTTTTACTGTAACCCCCATGAAGTGGACCATTTAAGAACACTGGACTAGATAAGGTTGGAGGAAAGGTATGAATCAGCAGTGCTTACTTACTTTACCTATGTCCTCCATAATGAAAGAATATTCAGAGTTCTGCACTGTGCTACATCAGGCTGGTGGGGGTGATGCCAAGGTAGTCCTGCTGCCTTCCTGGAGCCTTGAGGGGGCTCGCTAGGAGCCTGCAGCAGGAAAAAGTCAGGGCCCAGGATATACACCTCTTTCTGACCACCTCCAAGGATCATACAGGAATAAGACATAGAGACATCAAAGAGGAGAGTAAGAAGAGGTTCTGAATTTCTTCAGTTGCAGTTTCAAGCAAAGAGAACATGAGGACTAAAGCTGGAAAAGAAAATGTCAGAGTGTCCCTACTTTTCAAAGAAGTACTTCCAGTCGTTGATTTTATTTTGAATTTCCAGAATCAACTAATCTCCTGGATGGTAACTTCTTAAAGACTGTGAAAGATAAGACCTGGCTCATGTTTGCCTTTGCTGCTACCATTTCTGGCCCCCGCCAGTTTCCTCCACATTTTACTGTGCTCAGGGCTTTGCTCAGACCTGTTCTGTAAGTACCAGTCCATGGGCAGCTCACACTGATTGCCCTTAGCACCCCTACCACCCATCTGGCCTTTACAGTCACATCTGAATTCCTCATGGCACTCAGGGGCTACTCCTCTGTTGCTTCCAGGAAGCCTTCTTTGAACCCCTAGTCTGGGCCTCTCATTATAACATTTACTCTAGGCCCATATTCGCATCTGTCAGTCCTGAGCTTCATGGGACTCTACTATGTCCTTTGTCTCATTTTCCCTGGTTCCTGGCCCAGGGCCTTGTGAAAAGTCAGAATCCAGTGCTTATTAACTCTATCAAACTTGTTCCAGGGCTTGTGTGTATCTGTGATGAAGACAGGACGGTGCTCAGAAGCCAGAACAAGACCCAGATTTCAGCAGTTCATTCCACTCTGCCTCCTGTCTTTCACAGACTCTGATTTCTTTCAAGTTTATCATTAGTTAGGAGCAGGTGGGCAGAATTGTAGGAAAGGGAAGTGGTGTTGTTAAACCTGAATTCCAGTCTTAAAATGCATAATTTTATGCAAATGGGGTTTGTTTGGAGAACTCTCCCCACCTGGGCTGTGGTTTAAATTGCAGCAGAACCGTAGGTAAGTGGAGGCTCCTGCTCTTTCCTCTTCCACAGGGCATCATTTCTCTTCACGTTTCATGTTCTCCAGAGCCTGTGAACCCTTGGCTACTAGTGACAGAACAATTCTCTCCACAGATTATACCAAAAGAAAGCCTTCCTTTTGGCATATTTTCTGTGGGAAATGCACACCAACCTTCTTTAGCATGTTAACTCATTTATTTGGCAGGAACACTGCTTTGCTCGCTGTCTTGGAACATTCATAGGATGCTGCCCTACATGAAGTTATATAATCTATTGCAGTTATATTAAAATTCCTCTGGGGTGGCTAGAATCATAAGTAATGTTTGTCCTCAGAATATACTGAATCACATTCATCTCTGGGTGAATCACATTACAGGATTTGGAGACTCTAGATGATGTCTAGTAGATACACATGACAGGTAGGAGCTGCCGATTAGAAAGTGTCCCATCCTTACTACTGTCCAGAAGCATGTTCCTGAGCAGCTGAGTAAGATACAAGTCTAATCACTTAAGAAGAAAATATCTCTTATCCTTAGCATTCCTAAATGGTACACCACCAAGAAAAGTGCATATCGGTGAGGTGTCAAGTTTTCATCCAAAGTCCAACTCCAGTATTTGAGAGTTCAGTTCAAAGAAAACATGAATCATTAAGTTCATTAGGTTTTGGAAATGTGTTCTTTGTATCAAGTCAGACCATACGAAAGCCATATACCTGGTTTATGTTACTGTACCTGTCCATAAAAAAAAAAACAAAACTGACTTGGAGTTTCATTTTTATATTCATCTTTTATTGCAGATCAGTTAAAGACATAGAATGTTTATTGTTTCTTTTTCTTTGCTTATTATAAAATGATCTGTTAAAGTTTTATTACTTAGCTTGGAGTGGTGGTGCACGCCTATAATCCCAGCATTTTGGGAGGCTGAGACAGGAGGATCGCAAGTTCAAAGCCAGCCTCAGCAATGGCAAGGCACTAAGCAACTCAGTGAGACCCTGTCTCTAAATAAAATACAAAATAGGCCTGGGGATATGGCTCAGTGGTTGAGTGCTCCTGAGTTCAATCCCCAGTATGCCCCCCCACAAAAAAATTATTACTGAGCATTGTGCAATCACTAACATTTACATAAAAATTCATAAAAATGTTTGGATTTTATGAACTGGTATACTGCTACTTATTGGATATGAGTGTGTTTCTTGTTG